CACCTTTGTCTCCACCTTACCTCACCTTTGTCCTCCACCTTACCTCACCTTTGTCTCCACCTTACCTCACCTTTGTCTCCACCTTCCCTCACCTTTGTCTCCCACCTTACCTCACCTTTGTCTCCACCTTACCTCACCTTTGTCTCCACACTTCCCTCCCTTTGTCTCCCACCTTACCTCACCTTTGTCTCCACCTTCCCTCACCTTTGTCTCCACCTTCCCCTCACCTTTGTCTCCCACCTTCCCTCACCTTTGTCTCCACCTTCCCTCACCTTGTCTCCCTTCCCCTCCTTTGTCTCCACCTTCCCTCACCTTTTGTCTCCCTTACCTCACCTTTGTCTCCACCTTCCCTCACCTTTATCTCCACCTTCTCCCCTTGTCTCCACCTTCCCTCACCTTTATCTCCACCTTCCCTCACCTTTGTCTCCACCTTCCCTCACCTTTGTCTCCACCTTCCCCTCACCTTGTCTCCCACCTTCCCTCACCTTTATCTCCACCTTACCTCACCTTTGTCTCCACCTTACCTCACCTTTGTGTAGCCTTACCTCACACTTTATCTCCACCTTCCTCACCTTTGTCTCCACCTTCCTCACCTTTGTCTCCACCTTCCCTCACCTTTGTCCCACCTTACCTCACCTTTGTCTCCACCTTCTCACCTTTGTCTCCTTACCTCACCTTCACATCTGCTGGGAAGGTGAGATAATGTTCCACATCACCAACAGTGCCTTGTCCTAAGACACCTTCCTATATTACCATATTTTAAAGTGTCACAGTTGTAGCTTTTCAAATTGTGGAAAATGGTTAATGAAATTGTTTCCAGTGTTTTTACGATACAATTAGGTAGGATGTGTTTCTGAAAAGCAAAACACACTATGTACACATTTACTCTTCTAAGTTGGTGTTGTGGACAGGGTGTACCATGCTGCCAGCGCGGCAGCCGCCCCACACACCACCACCAGGGAGATGATCCCTGTGAGGTGTGTTGGGGTACAGGGTGTGTCTGGAGGGGCAAGCTAAACCAGCAGCCGCGAGGATGACGCCCCAAGCGTGGCAGGGGGCACCAGCTGGGGGGCACGCCTTGCCTGGGCTGTGGGCATGGGCGGCAAGAAGAAGGAAAAAGTGACTCCTGCAAAAATAGCAGAGGCAGGAGGCGTGGGCGCCTTCTACTACTACACACTCCACACCACCTTCACGGCTCTCAGGGTCAGACTCAAGAAGGCCCAGCAGGTCAGTTATGATACAGAACGTGGAAGGGCCTACACAAACAATACGATGGCCAAGTTACTTCACTCACAAACCACTATATGTTTCTAAGGCATTCAAGTCTTAGAAATATTTTTTCGTCATTGTGCTTTATTAAGTTAGTATAAAGGAATTTGGAGTAGGCCCAGTGGATCTTGCGAGGCAGCACCCCTGTACACCAACCATCGTTACTTCTGTCCAACCTACAGTTTATTTGAAACGTCCCAAATTTTGCGTTAATATTATTATTCAGCTCCTAACTGTAAACTGGGTTCTGCAATACACTCCATCAGAAAACACTTCGCTTAGCACTACGCAACAGGAAATTTGGAACTATCGTCCTCCTGCATCTGTTAATTAAGGCTCGGAAATTTAGTCAGGTCCTTCAGGTTTTTCTGGTTAGGAGGTTTCGTTTCGTCAGTTTTTGCGCGTTTTTACCCCACAATTTTCCTCTACTTCAAAGCCCTGTCACATTGTGCAACCAATATTATTGGTAATTGGGACGGGGTGTCGTATCTCGATTACTACTGATTTCCGACGGAAATGAAGGTCAAACGTATATGAAACACGATGAAATACACGATACAAACCTATTTTTCCATCGTATTTTTGTGCATGGCAACTTCGAACTATTTACCCTAAAATGTTTGCTTTGATCTCATGGTTACGATTTCCTGCTTGATTTAAAAGTTTAATTACATCATTAATACTTCCTGTATTTAACTCTTATTTCTATCGGAACGTTTTGATCATATCGCCAGCTCCTCACTATGTATTTCGAGAGATTTAATCTATTCGATATTTTAGAGTTTGCTGAATAAAAACTTACTACGATAATATAATTAATCCAAGTGCGGTTTTATTAACACAAGATAAATTAACATCTGTACTACTGTTACTAGTGCTTCTCGCTTTATTGCATACATTAATATAATGCTACCATAGTTTTAGGTCTTATTAATCACTAGCAGAATCGCCGCCCTCCGGGCGGCTCATCCGCTAGGCCACGGTAGGACGCCACCCTCCGGAAGGCTCCACATTGTCTCACTGTTGTCCCCAAAACAACTTCTTCCATCAAAAGTTCATTAACGGTGTATGTAAGTTCCATCATATTTTTCACTACAACGGTACAGTAAAGTATAATTTTTCAGCATTAATCTGACATTATTTTATTGTCTAATCATCACTACATATAACACCGCCCATCATCACTACATATAACACCATCCATCATCACTACATATAACACCGCCCATCATCACTACATATAACACCATACATCATCACTACATATAACACCGCCCATCATCACTACATATAACACCATCCATCATCACTACATATAGCACCACCACCACTACTACCACCATCATCATTACCACCACAATCATTACCACTACTATCAACCAGTCTCTATCAACACCACTATCACCATCACCACCACTACCCCTGTCACTACCACCGTCACCATCATCACTACATATAACACCATCCATCATCACTACATATAACACCATCCATCATCACTACATATAACACCACCCATCATCACTACATATAACAACATCCATCATCATTACATATAACACCACCCATCATCACTACACATAACAACATCCATCATCACTACATATAACACCACCCATCATCACTACATATAACAACATCCATCATCACTACGTACAACATCATCATCCATCATCACTACATTTAACACATTCCATCATCACTACATATAACACCATCCATCATCACTACAGATCGGTAAAGTAGTTTCCGAGATTCTCGTGCGGACACACACACACACACAAACACACACATAAGAACATAAGAACATAAGAAAATAAGGGGTCTGCAATAGCCGGTTGGCCTGTGCATGGCAGCTCCTGTCGAGAGTTACTACCACTCTCTATCATCCATGAATCAATCTAGCCTCTTTTTGAAACTTTCCAGAGTTCCCGCACTTACTACAAAGTTGCTAAGCTTGTTCCACTCGTCCACCACCCTATTTGTGAACCAGTTTCTTCCTATCTCCCTCCTAAACCTAAACTTATCCAACTTGAATCCGTTGCTCCGAGTCCTATCCTGCTCGGATATTATAAGAACTTTATCTATATCCCCTTTAATGATTCCTTTCACCCACTTAAATACTTCTATCATATCTCCCCGCACTCTTCTTCTTTCTAGGGAATGCAAGTTAAGTTTCTTTAACCTATCCTGATATGGAAGGTTTCTAAGTCCCTGAATCATTTTTGTCATTCTTCGCTGCACCGACTCTAGTGAATTTATATCCATTCTATAATAGGGGCACCAGAACTGAACCGCATAATCGAGGTGCGGCCTAACTAGCGCAAGATATAGTTGCAATAAGACCTCTGCACTCTTGTTACTTACACTTCTAGATATAAAACCCAATACTCTGTTTGCCTTATTTCGAACATTAACGCACTGTTTTCTAGGCCGTAGGTCCGGGCTTACAAGTACCCCTAGGTCTCTTTCACAAGTCGACTTCTCTAGGTTGATGTTGTTAAGGCTGTATACATTATAAGTATTTGTTCTTCCAATATTAAGTACGCTGCACTTGCTGGTGTTGAATTTCATTTGCCATTTTTCAGACCACCCTGCAGTTTATTTAGATCCTCCTGTTATGCATTTGCATCCTGAATTAATTTGCCCTATTTTGGTGTCATCCGCAAACTTGTCTTATGTCACTGCTGATTCCAGTATATAAATCGTTTATGTAGATTATGAACAAGAGTGGGCCTAGTACTGACCCCTGGGGAACCCCACTGGTTACACGGCCCCACTCAGATTTAACCATCTACGCTGACCCTCTGCGTTCTATCGGTGAGCCATGATTTTATCCAATTTAAAACTTTCCCCTCGATACCATGAGCCTTAATTTTTCTCAGAAGCCTCTGATGCGGTACTCTGTCAAATGCTTTGCTAAAGTCTAAGTAAATAACATCGTAATTTTCGTCATTATCTACTACCTCGAAGACTTTCCTAAAAAACGTTAGCAGATTTGTTAGACAAGATTTTCCCTTTGTAAACCCATGTTGAGAGTCGTAGATTAATTTGCTTTTCTCTAGATGCGATCGGATGCTATCTGCTATAATTGATTCAAGAAATTTCCCCACTACTGACGTCAAACTGATCGGCCGGTAATTTGACGCTGATGCTCTGTCTCCCTTTTTAAATATGGGTACTACATTCGCCTGTTTCCACAACTCTGGCACAACTCCAGTGTCTAATGATTTTGTAAATAAATTTACGAGGGGTCCGCTAATCTGTTCCCTACACTCTTTTAAGACTCGAGGAAAAATTTCATCCGGCCCTGGGGATTTTGTGTTCTTTAGTTTATTTATCTTCTTAAGAACATCCTCTTTTCTGATGGTGATATTCTTTAATTTCTCTTCTTCCTTTCCCTTAAATATCAGTTCCACCTCCGGAATTTCATCGCAAATTTCTTCTGTGAAAACTGATAAGAAGTAGCTGTTCAATGCTTTGCTCATGTCTTCACTGCCATTTATCAATTCTCCCCTCCCTGACTTTAAAGGCCCAACTTTGTCCTTGACCTTTGTCCTATATACCTGGAAAAATCCCTTGGGATTCGCCTTGGATTCTCTTGCTATTTTGTTTTCATAGTCTCTCTTTGCTTTCCTTACATTTTTCTTAACATTCCTAGATAGTTCATTATACCTATTTCTGAGCTGCTCCTCCCCTCCCTTTAATTTCTTATATATTCCTTTCTTTATTCCTATGTCATGTTTAAGATTTCTGGTCATCCACCTTGGTTCATTCTTATTTGACCTAATTTTTCTGTATGGTATATTTTGTTCTTGTGCTTTATGTAGTATACTGGTGAATATATTATAGTCATGTCAATTGTTGTCTTCTATGACCTCACCACTTCCTACTGGGAACTGACGTGACTGTTCCCAGGTGACCTCACCTAGGTACCTTCTTAACCCCTGATAATCCGCCAACCGAAAGTTTGGGACTCTGACCATATTGTCATTGTTTTTCGTTTCCCAATTTAGGGTGAACCTGATTTCTCTGTGATCACTGTTACCTAGTTCGTCCCCTACTGTGATATCTCTGATAATATTTTCTTTATTTGTTAATACTAGGTCTAATATATTGTCACCTCTAGTAGGTTCTGTAATTAGTTGTTTCAAAAAATTGTCCTGTACTGCGTCTAGGAAGTCTTCAGATTCATAGTCGCCTACAATGTTGTCCCAGTCAATATTTCTGAAGTTGAAATTCCCCATAATGCATAGGTTGTTATATTTTGCTGCCCTACTCATTTCCTGCCATATGGGCTAAGCTGCTTCTTTGCTAAGACTTGGGGGCCTGTAAATCACTCCCATAATTAGTTTTTCTCTTCCTTCCGTGATTTCTACCCACACAGACTCGGTTCCTATTTCACCCTTTATTGAATTATTAGTACAACATTTTAATGTATCCTTGACGAAGAGTGCGACCCCCCCCCCCTTCCTACCTTCCCTGTCCTTGTGAAAAAGGTTGTACCCTTCTTTGTGGTAATCTGATAAAAAAATTTTGCTCGCCAGATTCATCCAAGTTTCGGTGATTGCTATGACGGCTACATTCTCGGTACATACAACCGCTCTCAGCAAGTCTATTTTATTTCTAACGCTCCTACTGTTTGTATAGTATACATTTAAACCTACCCTTCCCTGGTCCTGTTTTACCCCTTGTCCTGAGCAACTAATTTTACTTCCCAGGACCTGCTTGTTTTTTGATTCCCACTTTCCCCGACCCCTCTCTACTGGCGAAACCCCCCCTTCGGAGTGACAATTTCACGCTCCAGGGATGCAGACAACGTCTTTACCCCCTCACGAGACAAGTGTACTCCGTCGCGACAGTACAGGTAGTCGTTGCCATAGAATCGTTGCCAGTTATCAATGAATGCCCAACCATTGTTTGCACAATGTTTTTCCAGTCGGCAATTAATAGCAATTGCCCTGGACAGCCATTCACGACCAACCCCTCTTCTAGGCAAGACACCACATACTATCGGGATCCCTCCCCTATCTCTAATCTTCCCCAGCGCCTCCCTATACCTCTTGAAAAGTTCCTCACTCCTAACCTTACCTATGTCGTTTCCTCCCACACTAAGACACACTACTGGATTGGTACCCTCCCCTGACAAAACCCTGTCTAACCTCTCGGCTACATGCCCTATCCCAGCCCCAGGAAAACACACCCTAGTCCTACGTTTCCTATCTCTCGCACAAAAAGCCCTATCCATAAACCTCACCTGGCTGTCACCAACTACCACGACCTTACCTGTGGGCAGGGTTTGTACAACTGCCCTTTCCTCTCCTTGATCCATACCGTCCTGCCTCTTCTCTTCCTAACCAGCTTCCTGCAGCACCTGGTAAGGGTTACTGCACTCCACACCCTGGTCATCTTTCCTAAGCCTGACCCTAGTCCCCTTGGAGACAACCACTCTCCACGCCTGCTCCTCCTTCGCAGGTGTCCTGCTAGGCAGGACACCTACCTGAAGGAGTTCCGTCCTGAGAGCTTCATTTTCCCCCTTTAGAGTGTCAACCTCACTCCTCAACTGCCCCAGCTGCCTGAACAGCGTGGCAAGGAGGTCGTCTTTCCCCACACTCCCCTCCTCTTCCCCCACGACACAACGATCCAAAGCGGCCATTTTCCTTGGTCTCTAACGGGAGCGCGATCGGGCACGACCTTCTCCAAGCTGGGTCAGAGGTCAACTGAACTGGGTCAGAGGTCAACACACACAGACATACTTCTTTGTTATATATATATATATATATATATATATATATATATATATATATATATATATATATATATATATATATATATATATAGATTACCCCAATTGGATACAAGGCTCATTTCCTGTCCTATAGCTCGCTGGTTCGCGGCCGGGGCCTCACCCACACTTCACCCAGCCGTGAGTGGGTGGGTAACTAACTTTACAGTTAGGCACAGTGAAGGCAGACAAGTGTAGTGCTGGTCACACTGCTCCCGTGCGTAGTGGAAAAAGGGCTGTCTTCAGTGTACGGTATCCACACTGCGCTGTCAGCCTCACTTTCGCTCTCCATCCCTAAGTCCTACTTGTTCTACGGTATATATCTACGTTCCGGAGCAGATGCTTAGTTCTTGTTTCGTTACACAATACTTGGGCCCCTTTCTCTAGTTGTGTTAATTGTCGAGATATCATTAGTTACTATTGTTCACACCTTCAAAAATGCGTGAAACAATGTTCATACTCTGACATGAACGATCTCTATGAAGGTCATGTTGACAGTCAGTAATCAACTTTTGTTTTACAACGTACTTGCGGAATTATACATACAATTATCACTTCATTGGAATTTCTCATATCTGATTCTTTTTTCTTCATGATCAGGATTACATTAACTGTCCTCCAGGATTCCGGTAAAACACCGACTTCAGTGACTTTCTGAATACATTCACCAGTGGACTACTTAGTCCTTATATTTCCTTAATAAACCAGCAAATATCTCATCGGGATCTGGCAGTGAATTTGGCTTTACTTTACTAATTTTTCATTAATTTCTTCAACAATCTCTCCTTAATTTAGAGGACTTATTTTCTTCGCCTCCTCTATAAATACAGTAGTAGTTACTTCTCGAACAACTAAATCTGTTGGTGTATAATGAAACGCGATAAAGAATATATATTTAAAACATTGCCTATTTCCTCTCTGTTATCGTTAATTTATTCAAAAAGAATTGTGTACGTCTTCTTGCTTGTTCTGTATAAACCTTTTTGTTCTTTAGTTGATTAATCGTCCATTTAGGATCATTACTACACAATTTTAACTTTCGGTATTCTATATTTAATTCTTGAGTTTGCAGCAAATTACTAAAATAATGTTTTAATAATCGTCGACTGTGTACCTCGAATGTGAGGTCACCTGTTGTAGTCACGTAACCCTCTCTAGTCAGGTGTTCCTCCAAGGTCGGTCGAACTCATGTTAATTCTGTTCCCCGCCGAATTCAGGTCAATCTTTGGAGTAGTAGTCACCTGTTATGCTTAACATAGCCTGACCTACTTCCCATCAGTACTTTATTTCCATTATAAATCTCTTTCAGGTATTGTGGGACTAATATAACCTTTTTACCTCACAATTTTTCCGCGCTGTTTCATGATTTCTTTGTGAACACCATTTAAACCTAGCTCCCGATTTCTTACCAGATTTCTTTCTTGATAAGTCGAGTAAATTATTTTTGAAGAAACAGTAGAGAAATATTCCATTCAGTTTTGTTTAGTTCCTTTGACTTTAGTAATCGTCTTCTCATGCAAAAACGTCAGTTAGGTTTAGTGAAATAATGCATAAACATTCAAATTAGTTTTCTTAATTAAGAAAATAAATTCATCATTATTCCCGTTAAATAAACACTGCAAATATTTTCCCGTGCATCAAGTAATAAAATCACATGTAGGTAATAAATTCCCAGTTAATCAAAAAATAAATTTGGAAGAAAACAACAAGACTGACGAGAAAAACAACATGTTGTGCAAGATCACCCGACGCCTTTGCAGGATCACACGTAACGTGTCATATTCAAGATAGGGAGTAACGCTAACCATTTAGTGTTCATCTACGGCCTCACTTGGCGGAGGATGGCTTGTCCTCATGGCTCAGATCAACAATTAGTTGTCCAAACACAGTCACGGTGTGCTGGTGGCGTCTCATTTATGTGAAGATCCAGTCATTGTTCCCTCGTCGTGGTTCGCCTTGGAAACCTTTATGAGCGACGCAGTATGTTCGGTCCTATGTACAGCAAAGTATATTTTTTTAGCATTAAACTGTTATTATTGTATTGTCTAATCATCACTACATATAACACCATCCATCATCACTACATATAACAACATCCATCATCACTACATATAACAACATCCATCATCACTACATATGACAACATCCATCATCACTACATATAACATCATCCATCATCACTACATATAAACACCACCCATCATCACTACATATAACATCATCCATCATCATTACATATAACACCATCCATCATCACTACATATAACAACATCCATCATCACTACATATAACATCATCCATCATCACTACATATAAACACCACCCATCATCACTACATATAACATCCATCATCACTACATATAACACCATCCATCACTACATATAACATCATCCATCATCACTACATATAACACCACCCATCATCACTACATATAACAACATCCATCATCACTACATATAACATCATCCATCATCACTACATATAACATCATTCATCATCACTACATATAACACCATCCATCATCACTACATATAACACCATCCATCATCACTACAGATAGGTAAAGTAGTTTCCGAGATTCTCGTGCGGACACACACACACAGAGACATCCTTCTTTGTTTTATATATATATATATATATATATATATATATATATATATATATATATATATATATATATATATATATATATATATATATAATAAAGAAAGTGAGCGGGATGTTGATATGAGATTCCTGGGGACTGAGGCTGCTTATAAAATTGAGTTGGAAGCAGAACATCAGGTAGAGGAGGGCGTGAAGGTGACTCGCAGACACTACTGAAATTTCCACGTGACATGGTTTCCTTTTTTCTCTTTTTTTACGGGCATTAGCCCACCCGGGCACAGGTCACTGACCCACATCGGGGCCTAGGGGGGGGGGCGAACATATAATAATAATAATAATAATAATAATAATAATAATAATAATAATAATAATAATAATAATAAAGAAATACAAAAATGAAAAAAAAGATCAAGAGTGAGAAACAATATATGTATATTGTGTTGTCAATAGTAAGAGAAACAATTGAGACCCTGCAATTGTGTGTGAATGAGGCAGAAAGTCAGATCAGCAACCCGGGACCTGGTCACAATTCTTGTAATGCCATATGGCAGCAGGGTCTACCATTAGACAACACAAAATGCTTCCAATATCTTCCCAGGCGGTAGTACCCTGGAGTGATCACTCCAAGGAACAAATGTCCTGCCAGGAATCTTTAGTCAGAGCCACAACCTCTTTTCAGCTGACTAAATACGCAAATTTACGAGCTTTGTCTCGTGTTATTTATTGTTCAAAAAATTATATACAATAAACTGTTATGAAACATTGTAAATGAAATGAACGCTTAGGGTTCTGTTTCCTGACCCAAGTTGAGGATATGATAAAGTATGCGAGATTAATTTTTTACCAGTTTTTTTTACCTCTTTCTACTCTTGTCTTGCCCTCTGCACCTGTCTTGTATTAATTTATCTCTTTATATGTTTTCTGTATCGGATCCCCTGAAGAATAGTCCCTACTTTAATTCATCTTACGGTTAACCTAACCTAACCAGTGTAATTTAAGAGCAATAATAGTTTTGTTATAATTCACCATGTGTATGCTAATGATTAACACAGTATTGGGTGTCAGGTGGCAGGGGACGTGCATGAGGAGGTGGCCAGCCTTGGGGAGAGGGTGGCCCACCTCCACCACACCCTCACCACGCACTTCTCTCCGCGCCTCAACCCTTACCTCCACAAGCCTCGCCTCACTCAACCCTCACGCGGTACCAACAACGTGAAAGGCAACAAGGACGCCAACACCAGTACGCCCAATTACCAGAAGACGCAAGAACTTAAAGCGGAAAAAGGCGAAGGTAGTAGTAGTTCCCGACGTCAAAATTTAGTGCCTACACTTAACGCTCGCCAGGAAAACCTCCGTCGCGTTTACCCAGTCAAGGTCGTCAAGCCATCAAAAGAAAAGAAAGAAAGAGAGGCTTTGGTGGCAGCTGACGGCACCCGAGTTAGACTTAAAAATACAAACTCAGGCCTTGGTGACTCACATCACAGGCAGATACACTATGTCTACCCAGGCAACGGTCTTTCTCATGTTAATGGTAACCCACACAGTGAAAGAAATAAAAACTTAAAAATGGAACAAATGACGAATCAAGACCGAACATCCGAAAATGTAAACAGAGACAAAATTCGAACTTTATTTTCAAGTAATTTCCGTCATCAGTTGAGCGTTAACGGAACAGGTGATCCGTGGAGGCACAGATCAAAGCTTCTTCAAGGCTTAAGTAGTGAGTCATCGGGAAGAGAGGCTGAGAGGGCAGGGAAGACAGACATGGCTAAGGCAAGAGGTGGTGAAAGGCAGTGGTTGTTGGAGTTGGGAGACACGGGTGACAAGAAAGCCAGAGGCTGGTCCTCAAACTTAGGGGAGGACGGCGTACGGCGGGCAGTGTCAGTTGTGGTGACCGGGAAGGAACATGCTGTTGATGGATTATTGGACAGCTTGGGCCGCATCTACCCGGGGATAACAGTACATCTAGTAACGATCACACCTCCATCACAACGGTCAAATCACCAGATTCGCCTTATTGTCCACAAAGTGGAAACCAACACAACCAATGGTGTCGCCTTCACGGAGGTCCTGAGGCACATTACCACACCCTACGTGCTAATTGCTTCAGGTATGGCTTCCATTACACCGCTGTCTAAACTGGAGCGGCTAGTATGGGCAGCAGAACATTTAGGAGTGTGGGCAGTTGGTGGCGGGGTTGAAACTCCTTCAGGTCGCTGGAGAACAGGATGCCTCACCTCCAGTTACGCCCACTATCAGGCCAGTTGGACACGGGGACGACTAGGTATTGCTGGCGAGTGTTTAATATGTCAGGGATTGGAGGGACCATTTTTGGCTATGACCACAGCCTTGAGACATCTTGGTTGGGACACAAAACTACCCAGAGAAGTCCTTGAGCTTGATCTTTTCCTACGGGCGGCTCATTCTCTCAACATGATGGCAGCATCATGCCCAAAATCATTATTTACAATCGATAGTGAGTTAGAGCCACCGTCGCGACCCGCCTTGCTAAGCCTCGCCCGTCATCACAGCGTGTACTCCCTGCAAGCAGCTGGTGGAGTCCTCGTTACCTTCTCCTGCAGCGAGGTCGGCGCCAGCTGCGGAGACACCAAGTTGGCTCTGCCACCCTGTTGTCGCCAAGAGTTGGCCAGCCTCGTCCGTTTCCTGATGGACACCTGCGAAGCTCACGGACTGCTGTGTGAGCTGCAAGAGGGAACACTACTAGGTGAGTAAACCATCCTCTTTATCACTCACTACTTTAAGACACAGTTTTGGGGAAGATTTGTTTTTCCAAGGGTCTGCATGGTACAGGATTCGAGCACTGTGCAGGGTCTCACAAGAAAGACGGAAAGTTGGATTGGCTACAGTACGTCCTCAAATACTCCGCTTATTAAGACAGTACAGTAAACAGAGACGTCTTCTGATACACTCAATGTTTATTTCTAAAAAACACTTATTACTAAACTTGTACATCATTTATACGCGTATAATTGGATTTTACACATCTCGATATCTTTTCATGTTCAATTTAGCTTCGATGATGATGAAATCTACCGAGTGATATTGTGCGAAATGTTTCCCAGGGTGTGTCCGCCAACACTGTCATCTAACGGCACCGTTCCTATTCATTATAAGTCTGTGTTTGTTCTGGATTTGTAGAAATTCGTTTCATTGCGAAACAATCTTTTGCGTCCAAAATCATCAAATACATGATTATGATATTCATACTTAAAAGTCAGATGGTGTCCAATGCGCTCTGAAAATCAAAATAAATGTTTCGATAATGAAGCGGGCAAACTTATGTTTGAGTGAAGCAAGAGCCTTCTATCAACTCAGAGATCATTTTATTGTTACAGTCATCTTGACACCACAGTCCTTTTGTTACTTCCCTGTTAAACGATATCCGAAGCCCGGAGTTTACTCTTCCATCGTGACGTTTACACTGATGAATGATTGCCTCTTGTCGTCTTTTATTTTTTTTTACATACTTTTATCCTATTAGTTGATAGTTCTTTGGTGTCTCATTCATGGGTTTTATTCAGTGTTGGCGCTCTAGAAGGTTGGTGAGGGCGGGTAGATAGGTAGGGCCAAATATCCCAACCGATCCCACCTTCCTTATAAATGCCGTGTAGTCTTTGTTTAATCTTTGGTTCCAAAACACTGCCTGTCTTCTTAACATTTTTCTTGTGTTATCATCACCAGCATCAACTCCCCTTAAAGCGCAACTCTTCATCTCACAGTTACTTGTCACGACTGGAATTGTTTGTTGAATTTATAGCCAAATTATTTGTTTAAGTTGTCTAAATGGTAGGAATATTTACTCCTCGTTCTTATTTTTATGATTTTGTTCCAAAATATTTGTACCTGTAAAAACATTCATGGTTTATGTCACTAAATGGAGGCCCGTCAGGATATGGATGTTATTGTGTATAAATGTTTAGTGAAATAAATATGAACTTCCAGAAACACGGTGCTCTGCTGTCTGTACACCCGATATATGCTTCCTCAGTATATCTCGCCGATCAGGGTGTAAGTAAGTTCAAGGAAATTTGTTCCGTCCTCAACCTGATGAGCTGAAAACCATTCTGCACCTAAACTTATTTACAAAGGCTTGATCACGAACTCTGTCGGATTGCCTGCACCTTACTATAAATATAGATTTCTCTTGGCATTAGTGTACAGTACACGTGTGACGACACCAGCAGAGTTGAAACTAAACGTAAAATATAGTAACGCCTGAGGTAAAAACACAATCACCATTATTTTTAAGGTTTATGCCAAGCTCATAAAATTTCAGTGTTCAGAATTTAACCAAATTTTGAAAGAACTCTTTCCTAACATGAAAATAAACTAAAATAAATAGTCCTCGTGTATTGTACACTCACTACAAAAAGCTTATTTGCGATTTTGTATGAAACAATATAACACAACGAACGAAGGATTTTGACAACTCTACCGAGACAACAGGAGTAGCGTTGTTCATTTTCAAATTCATCGGACCCCTCCATAAAAATACTGTACGTTTTGGAGCGATATTCATTTTATTTTTTTATTTTTTTGGTGTAACAAATTTATTGACAAAGCTTGGAGTACAGTTTGTCTATTCTGAGTAATTCAGTCAGGTCTTAACACTGAGGGTAGTATCACTTCTCACTGCTACGCAGGACAGAGGTTCGTACACAAAGAAATACATCAGTATATATAGGTCAGTGTGGGCTAGCAAATTTGGGATAAACAGCAAGAATGTCCCCAAGCACCCCTGATTCAATATCAAAAATGGAAAAGGCACAACTCATTTATATTGACAAAAACCATTGTGTTAACATTCAAGAATAATTACAGGAAACAGTTTTCTACGTTACACCTGTGGGTGTCAAACGTAAAATTAATGAGATATTTTCCAAATTAATGAATCCACACAAATTTAAGGAGCATGTGGACATCCTGGTGTGACGCCACCATACAAAATAATGAATACCCTCCTTAATTCACTGCATAAATTAATCATTTCAAACTACATCTGTAAAGGTAATTGTAATAGTTCCCTAAATTAAGTTCATTCATTTATATGAAGTTAATGAATTTTAGTAGCTAATTCAATGTTTTGTCATGAATATGAGTATCAAATAAAAGACGTCTTGGCACAAGCGGCGTGATGTCGTCAGTTACCTTCCGTAGGTTACAAAGTTTTTGCCTTACTGTTTCTATGATGCAATATCTTGTTTAATTTACAAATAGATTTATGTTGTATTAAGTTGTTGAAGCATAATGAAGTATAATCCTGATTTGTAACTATTTAGAAGCAACTGTCACTGATCTGTTCAGTACTGTTGGTTTTACTGTACGGTCACCCAAAAAAGTCCTGTCGCGAACCATGAACCCCGAGATTCAGACTCTTGAATCCGAAGCATTTATGGACAGAATAATGTATCAGTGTCTACTGCTTCGGGTTCACGAGTCTGAATCGTGGTTCGCGACAGGATTTTTTTGGGTGACTGTACCCTGCTGACCACGCTCAACAGCAACGAGTGAACGCTGCCACAGTAATTTCTACACTGCTTTAATATTCAAAACCGTTTCATTTGTCTTCAAATATTTTATCCATTGTATGGAAAGTACCAGAAATATCACTGAAAAAAATTACTGTAGTTGACCTTAAAGTATCAGCTCAGATCCATTAAAACTTAACGTTATCCTAATAGATTCATGTTACATCCCTTACAAACAACAATAAAATTTTCAGGTTAATAAACCAGGCTTACAAAAATATCATAGCAGAGAGATGTTAAATTACTCTTACAGTTTCACCCGCTGCCCACACACCTACATCATCTTTCACACAGTCCTGGTTTTCAACTGTCGGATTACTACTCGGAACAAAATATCCCCCACAGTCCACATGACTCTTGACCTGTTACTTCTCCTTAACTCCCAGTAACTAATTATCTGAACTCTTGAAGTGTCCTCTGGAGGCCAACAGGCCGGTCTTCCTTTATGAGCTGATAGTATCTTTGGGAGCCCAGCTGGGCTTGTCTCCTGCTCTCAGGAGGTGAGCTAGGCTGGCCTCTTGCCTTAGCTGGTTGTGTCCCTGGCAGGAGCGGTGAAGCTGGAGGGCGTGATGCCCTGGGAGCGAGATGCTGACATAACCTTCCACACCAAGAATTTCACCGCCCTCGGGGAGCTCAAGGACGTGTTCGACCGTGCCGGATACTCACTCTACCTCAGTAAGTGCCCACTAATTTTATGTATTAATATGCTTATTTTTGTCGTGTACAAGAAAAGTAACATTATCATCTTGTTTGTACCAATGTTCTTCAGTTTTTAGTTTACAGTGTTCTACTCTTGGTTAACTGGTGCGGGGGGCCGAGCGGACACAACACTCGCCTCCTGTCCTAAGAGTCACTGAATCGCACCTGGGGCACATCCCATTTATCCCATTTGTAAATGGTTATCTATAGTACCTTTAGGTGTCTTTCACACGAGCGGTTTTTTTATCGCGCAACTTCGAAGTCAATGGAGTTCATTGGGACCTTATACACAGACGTACACGACAAAAATTAAGAAAAAAGCGACGTTGACGCTGACCGAAGGCTTGTACATTACTGTACTTTTTAAATGCAATGGCGGATTTCAGACGAACGTTTGTTTTGTTGCGAAACAGTCGTGTTTCAGGTCTGGTTTAGTGAATATTTCTGCAAGAGTGTCTCTCTCTCTCTCTTGGTTTCTACTTTTATTCAATTAATTGTGTTTTGAACACACACACACACACACACACACACACACACACACACAAGGCCGTATGCACATAATTATAAATAGATATTTCATCACTTCATAGACTATTAATTTTCATAAAAACATCACGGGTGACCAAGTACAGGTAAGATACTGACCTACTGATTGTTGAGGTGCAAAAGCGACCCGTGTTGTGGGATTCTCGATCTTGAACAGATGAAGTTGAACTAACAGGCAACAGAAAAAAAGTTCTGTGTGAAAGCGTGACTTTTTGCACATCAGACACGCGTATATTTTGTCGCCTCCTTCTGTACCGAAGGCTTAGTGTAGGATACATTACGCTGTATCTGCACTGTCCCCAGGGGCTTGTGGACCCACTTTTACCCCAAGTTTAACAGAGGCTAGCATAAGCCAAATGCCTGATTATTTCAATACAATTTTTTTCCGTTTTTTTTTTCATTATATTGAGAGCATTGAATGATTAAAATAGTGACGGGAATTCCGCTCCAGGAAACCTTAAATTAATTGTAAAAGAACATGTAGAAGCAATAACAATAACGCCGCCCTGTACTTCGTGCGGCAGCCCGAGACAGAATGGGGGAGGGGGAAGTGGTGTACGAGTTAAAAAGAAAAGTTTTTACTAAAACGCTTGATAATTATTTTGTACAAATTTCAGCTTCGTCGCTCAAAAAGTGACTGGAAAAAATCACCCAGAGAATCAACAAAACAGCACCCGGAGAGGAAATGATGGGTGGGGGCACAATGGTCTCATGAATAATCTACATCACTGACGAAGGAAGCAGTTCTACTTAATTAATGGTGGGTGTCACGTGCCTGAGCGCTCGGGAACTCGCATAGCGTGAGGCATATGTTCACGCCTACATTTCATACAAGCTATTAATAAATTGTTAATTGTACTTATTATATTATTATTGTTCTTAGTTACTTAGGTTAATTGTATATTTATGTATGTTATTTATATGCATCATTGTCTTACTCTGTTAAGTCAACTCAAGAGTAATATTAATTAATTATATAAAATATCCAGCAAATGTCCTGAATCACGTGATATGAGACGCTCCTTCACGGCGTGGGCACGCTTCGGCAGTAGCGAAAAACCCGTGGCATAGGTTAGACGTGTCCATTCGTTCTCTAGCCTTGACCCTTGTCTAGTGCTTTATCCAGTCTTCTGCAATGCCCTAGGGGTATCAGGTATTAATGACACGTTTAGTTAGGCCTAGGAAGGGATCCTGGTGGTAAGGTATCTCCTGTTTGGTAGGGATAATCATTTTGTAGTGATTGTTGTATATATATATTTCGTATGTCTTGTGTAATATAGTAATGTTAAGTAATATTTGTTTGGTCTAACTCCTTACAGCATATTTTCGCCCTTCCGGCATCACTCTTATTTTATTATACACTTACTTATTCCCTTAAATTCATGTTTGCTAGTCATTACTCCCTTTAGAACATAAATTGAATTAATTAATTATCTTCCCTTTTGTGATTCACTTATTTCAACTGTTCTTACTTTTTCAAGTACATTTAGTTGAGTAGGTTTTTGGTGAGGATAATTATTGCCGTGTTCCCCATTTGTTCCTTTATTTGTTAATAACTTGGGGTAGGATTCACTCCCCAAGTATAAAGGATATTGGGATCGCGACAGTGGGCGAGACGACATTCGCAAGCTTCTCAAAGAAAAATTAATCATTCAAAAACCTGGTTAACAGTCACAAGTAACAGGAAACTGTAATCAGACTTTAAGGCTCCATACACGCTCAGACCGGCTCCGTCAAGCCAAGATTTTGGCCCGTTCAGGCGGCCTCTTCGGTCGCCGCCGGAACCGTCGCTGACAGGTTTTATAACTCCGGTCGGAGTGAGGTTCCGGCAAGGCTGTGCTAGTGTCGGCAACAGTTCAGGCCAGCACTCAATTTCAGCAACGGTGGTGAATGACGTGAATACCACTGACGAAGAGAGGGAGTTTTTGACAGAATTTATGAACATTTATAGAGAGCATCCATGACTCATGTCTATGGAAAATAAAGAGTAAGGATTATTCAGACAGAGTGAAAAAGAGTGCAGCCAATGAGTTGTTAACTGATATAATGAAGGAAAAAGACGGTTTTGTAAATAGAGAAGTTGTAAAAAAAAAAAATATCTATACGAGAAGCTCATTTAGCAAGAAAATATTAAAATGACGTCTTCCATGACGGTTAGGACCACGAGGCAGCCCCCAACAGGTGACCCTCAAGACTCGCATTAAGGGAGTTTTGACTTAAAGAGAAGGACAGATCGTCTTTATCAGGTCTTGGAAGTATAAAGCGTGATCTAGTTATTATTGTGAAACAAGTACAGTCGCGAAAGAAAAGTCCTGCCGCCTCCCATGCTGAACCTCGAACTCCGAGATTCACACTCGTGAATCCGAAGCGGTCGTGGACAGAATAATGCATCAGTGTCTATTGGTTCTCGTTCACAAGTCTGAATCTCGGGGTTCGCGGTTTAGCAGGGGAGGCGGTAGATTTTTCTTCGCGACTGTTCAAAGATCGTGTATACCGAGACTGATAAGTGTTATATGTTAGTTATTTCTCACCCGCCTTGTATATAACTATTACGTTCTATATTTGATGTAGAAGCTATTATTTCCCTATGCTTGTTGTGGTGTAGCTGACAACCGGTGGTGTTGTGTGGACGGGCGGTGGGCGGGCGGCCAGGGCACACTCTCCAGCGGCCAGTGGCGTGCTGAGCTGTGGAGCCAACACGCCATGGACTCTGAAGACAATCTGTTGGCAGGACGCCCACGAACTAGGTATAAGTCTCGCACCCTCTAACATCCCTCTATTATACTGATGTATTTTTAGTTTATATTACCCCCTTATGTAATATTAACTGACTGGCATCTCCCTACGATCTTCCTTCCGCAAAGAATATTCCTTGAGAATTATTGTTATAATACAGATTACTATTATTATTATTAAACTTTCCCCGAAGCAGATCTCTGAAACAGTTTGAACAATCTTATTTTGTAGACGTATCTTAGAGAGATTTATTTCAAGTCCGTGTCTAAAGTCAAGGGGCCAAAGGACACAGGAAGGCCAAAGTGTTAGCCGTGGTGTGGTGCTTGTCTCAGTGATGAAACGTTAAGGAAACAAGTACTGTATTACCAGAAGACGAAGTGCACAACACCAACTTGCATCATTTGACACACCACACAACATTACATACAACACAAAGACAGTACATAACACTAGACACAACACATCACTACACACAACACTACATACAACACAACTACACACAACACTAAATACAACACATAACTACACACAACACTAAACATACAACACATAACTACACACAACACCAAGCATACAGCACAAAACAACACAAGACGGCACACAACACAACTACATACAACACTACATACAACACAAAACAACACAAAGACAATACACAACACAAGACACAACACATCACGACACACAACAGTACATACAACACAAAACAACACAAAAACAATACACAACACTAGATACATCACTACACACAACACACCATACAACACAAAACAACACAAAGACAATACACAACACTAGACACACCACTACACACAACACTACATACAACACAAAACAACACAAAGGCAATACACAACACTACACACACCACTACACAGTACAGCACAACACAACACTAAACACTACACACACCACTACACAGTACAGCACAGCACAACACTACACACACCACTACACAGTACAGCACACAAACACAAGACACAACACACACCACTACACAGTACAACATAACACAACACAAGACACTACACACACCACTACACAGTACAGCACACACAAACACAACACACACCGCCACACAGTACAGCACAACACAACACAAGACACTACACACACCACTACACAGTACAGCACAACATAACACAAGACACACACACACCACTACACAGTACAGCACAACACAACACAAGACACTACACACACCACTACACAGTACAAGCACAGCACAACACAACACAAGACACTACACACACCACTACACAGTACAGCACAACAACACAAGACACTACACACACCACTACACAGTACAGCACAACACAACACAAGACACACCACTACACAGTACAGCACAGCACAACACAACACACACCACTACACAGTACAGCATAACACAACACAAGACACTACACACACTGCTACACAGCAGCACAACACAACACAAGACACACCATCACAGTACAGCACAGCACAACACTAGACACACCACTACACAGTACAGCACAACACAACACAAGACACTACACACACCACTACACAGTACAGCACAACACAACACAACACACACCACTACACAGTACAGCACAACACAACACAAGACACTACACACACCACTACACAGTACAGCACAACACAACACACACCACTACACAGTACAGCACAACACAACACAAGACACACCACTACACAGTACAGCACAACACAACACAAGACACTACACACACCACTACACAGTACAGCACAACACACAACACAAGACACTACACACACTACTACACAGTACAGCACAACACAACACAACACACACCACTACACAGTACAGCAGCACAACACAACACAACACACACCGCTACACAGTACAGCACAACACAAGACACTACACAACCACTACACAGTAGCAGCATAACACAACACAAGACACTACACACACCACTACACAGTACAGCACAACACAACACAAGACACTACACACACCATTACACAGTACAGCACAACACAACACAACACACACCACTACACAGTACAGCACAACACAACACAAGACACTACACACACTACTACACAGTACACAGCCCAACACAAATACAACACACACCACTACACAGCAGCACAACACAAGACACTACACACACCACTACACAGTACAGCACAACACAACACAAGACACTACACACACCACTACACAGTACAGCACAGCACAACACTAGACACACCACTACACAGTACAGCACAACACACAAGACACTACACACACCACTACACAGTACAGCACAACACACACACACCACTACACAGTACAGCACAACACAACACAAGACACTACACACACCACTACACAGTACAGCACAACACAACACAACACACACCACTACACAGTACAGCACAACACAACACAAGACACTACACACACCACTACACAGTACAGCACAGCACAGCACAACACAACACCACACAGTCCACCTCAACACTACACACACCACTACACAGTACAGCACAACACAACACAAGACACTACACACACCACTACACAGTACAGCACAACACAACACAAGACACTACACACACCACTACACAGTACAGCACAACACAACACAAAGACACAACACACACCACTACACAGTACAGCACACAACACAACACAACACACACTGCTACACAGTACAACACAACACAACACAACACAACACAAGACACTACACACACCACTACACAGTACAGCACAGCACAGCACAACACAACACACACCACTACACAGTACAGCACAACACAACACAACACACACCACTACACAGTACAGCACAACACAACACAAACACCACACACCACACACAGTACAGCACAGCACAACACAACACACACACCACACAGTACAGCACAACACAACACTACACAGTCCACTAACACTACACACACCACTACACAGTACAGCTCAACACAACACTACACAGTCCATTCAACACTACACACACCACTACAACAGCACAGCACAGCACAATACAACACTACACAGTCCACTCCAACACTACACACACACTACACAGCACAGCACAACACAACACACACCACTACACAGTACATCTCAACACAACACTAGACACTACACACACCACTACACAGCAGCTCAACACAACACACAACACACACCACTACACAGTGCAGCACAGCACAACACAAGACACACTACACACCACTACACAGTACAGCACAACACAACACAAGACACTACACACACCACCACACAGTACAGCACAACACAACACAACACACACCACTACACAGTACAGCACAACACAAACACAAGACACTACACACACCACTACACAGTACAGCACAACACAACACAACACACACCACTACACAGTACAGCACAACACAACACAAGACACTACACACACCACTACACAGTACAGCACAGCACAACACAACACACACCACTACACAGTACAACACAACACAACACAAGACACTACACACACCACTACACAGTACAGCACAGCACAACACAACACACACACCACTACACAGTACAGCACAACACAACACAAGACACTACACACCACTACACAGTACAGCACAGCACAGCACAACACAACACTACACAGTACAGCACAACACAACACAAGACACTACACACACCACTACACAAGTACAGCACAACACAACCACAAGACACTACACACACCACTACACAGTACAGCACAACACAACACAAGACACACCACTACACAGTACAGCACAGCACGACACAACACACACCACTACACAGTACAGCACAACACAACACAAGACACTACACACACCACTACACAGTACAGCACAGCACAACACAACACACACCACTACACAGTACAGCACAACACAACACAAGACACCACACACACCACTACACAGTACAGCACAGCACAGCACAACACAACACAACACAGTCCACCTAACACTACACACACCACTACACAGTACAACACAACACAACACAAGACACTACACACACCACTACACAGTACAGCACACAGCACAGCACAACACACACCACTACACAGTACAGCACAACACAACACAAGACACTACACACACCACTACACAGTACAGCGTAGCACAGCACAACACACACACCACTACACAGTACAGCACAACACAACACAAGACACTACACACACCACTACACAGTACAGCACAGCACAACACAACACACACCACTACACAGTACAGCACAACACAACACAAGACACTACACACACCACTACACAGTACAGCACAACACAACACAAGACACAACACACACCACTACACAGTACAACACAACACAAGACACCACACACCACTACACAGTACAGCACAGCACAGCACAACACAACACCACACAGTCCACTCAACACTACACACACACCACTACACAGTACAGCTCAACACAACACTACACAGTCCACTCCAACACTACACACACCACAGTACAGCTCAACACAACACCACAGTCCATTCAACACTACACACACCACCTACACAGTACAGCACACGCACAGCACAACACACACACACAGTCCACTGAACACTACACACACCACTCACACAGCACAGAGCACACACAACACACACCACTACACAGTACATCTCAACACAACACTAGACACTACACACACTACTACACAGCAGCTCAACACAACACAACACACACCACTACACAGTAGAGCACAGCACAACACAAGACACTACACACACCACTACACAGTACAGCACAACACAACACAAGACACTACACACCACTACACAGTACAGCACAACACAACACAACACACACCACTACACAGTACAGCACAACACAACACAAGACACTACACACACCACTACACAGTACAGCACAACACAACACAACACACACCACTACACAGTACAGCACAACACAACACAAGACACTACACACACCACCACAGCACAACACAACACAAGACACACCACTACACAGTACAGCACAGCACAACACAACACACACCACTACACAGTACAGCACAACACAACA